ACATGGACTAACTTTGAATGTAAAAATGGATTCAATAACCATTGCTTAGTATGGGGAAATTGTTGTTTACTCCAGGAAAATTCATTTTTTGGCCCAAACGAAGATTTATTATCCCTTTAATTACCCCCTTACAGCTTTTAGTAGGCGGGACAGACGCTTAGGCCTGCTAAGCTGACAGTAATCTAGTGAGACCCCCACAGTGATAGATCGATCTTAAATCTATGGGAATGGGGTCTTAGTTACAAGTGTTCTGTGTAATATGTTCCGTCATAATATTCTGTATGTGTGCATTTATTCCGTCAACCATAAGAAGATTAGATGCGATTATAACGTCAGAAAATACAATAGAGGGAGTGTGATAATGATAGGGTCGCTAAACGATTTTTGACGGAAAATAGTGACTAGCCTAATCCCCTGGTCGCCTGGGTAGGCACTCCCACTTAGAGTACTTATGTAAACAAACAGTCTCCTGTAGTGAACTATCCTTTTGTTCAACAGCTTCGCGCGTACAGCGGATTATATTTGTAGTGACACTATATAGCTAACTGCCGTTGAATATGTGAAAGCTGTTATTTGATTCATTCCCCTGTGTCGGACGTTGTGGACCAGCCCAATGGTTCATTCACTTATTCTTTTCTGAAGATTGGTGATGCAGTTTGGGTGCTCAATTATTTAACCTCCTTCTAACAAGGGAAAGGAGAAGGGAAGGAAACAGAGATGTCAAATGAAATGGGTAGAATGAGTACTACAATACATTAATTAAAAGAGGCCCGCGGTGGAAAAAACCGATATACTGTTTTGCACCAAGGTGATGGCCCATAACAGGAGGGATTATACTTTAAATATAGACTCATTGCTGTTTGGTTTATATTTGTGCGGACTTATATTCTACTCTCGTTCATTTCTTGGAACTAGTTCCTAAAATGAAAATTTGCCTGTAAAAATTTACTCTGTGACATGAACTAATTAAAAACACGCCTGTTGAAAAAGGGGATTTTCGCAACTAATACAGGTTCACAAGTAAGTTGTTCAGAAAAACACCGTCGCCGTTCAGCGCCACTACCTACAGGAAAGCGTATCCGGCATTTTTTGTTATCTGACAAATTAGGGCAGATGTCAATTTACGTTTAAGCTATAAATTCTGAATTTACTAATATTTTGGACTAAATTCGATGTCAGATTCACAGACATGAAGCAAAGCCACCAGAGTGACTGTTTAAATTTCAAAATATTTTATTTCGTTTTCTTTGTGGTGTTTTTTATTATGATTTGTTGCGCCACTTGTTGCACACACTGAAGACCTAAGGCAATTATGATACCATCCATTGTATGATAATCTAAGCTAGCTTTCACATTTAACAGACAAAATTATTCAGACCTTTCAACACTACCGGTCTCCTCGAGAATCTCCCAATTTAGAGAAATATCTCCTGATTCCCCAATTCAGCATAAACTCCCCCTGATTTATCAGACTAGAACGCGTTGCGATAAATTGTGTCGCTAGATCTTGTAAACACTCAGCGAAATGCACTTTTTGACTATATGCAATATGCCGTCACGGTTTCATGAATTGACGGTAGTAATTGCAGTATAAAAGGAGGCAGACATGTGAAGACAAAATAACGTCGGGTCTTTGTGTGACTTTCTCCCTAAACACTTTCTATGTTGTTGTCAAAGAAAAAGGAGCCGAGATAGCGATCATTAAAACCGCAGCTGTTGTTTTTACAGGTAGACTTCCTGGTTTATCATTTAAATGCTCCCCTCCCCCAGCAACTCAACTTGAGGAATGTCATAGTAGTTTCAGTACACTGTATATCAGATCTTGGTTCAAGTTGTGAAAGGTTTAAGCACAAAACGATAATTTGAGGGTATTTTTTCATTCAAGACAAAATTAGGTATCTATGGTGTGTGACAATAGGGACTTTACAAAGCTTTATTTGTCCTTAAATATATTCCAGTAGCATATGGATTTAGGCGAGCGACGTAATTGTAACCTCAACCTGAGGTATCCCCGATGAAAGCACCACGATGAACACTGAAAAGCGGAGTTCAATAATTAACCTTTTTTTAAATATCGATGACAATATGCTGTACAATGACCGAGTCGTAAAAGGGTTAATGAACTTCTTTGTCATAAAAACATTTCATTTCGAAATTAAAAGAAGCATTTTTTCTGGGAGGCATTGGAGGGGGAGACATAGTTAAGGCCAGGTGATTCATTAAAGCCGAGGAGAGTTTCACTATCAAATATATAAAGCATATGTCATAAAAAACACTATAATTATTTTTGTTACAATCTGTAACATTTGTTCATTTATATAGCAGGGCAAAGTTATCGCCAAAGGTAAATAGTAACTTATACCGTAATCCTTCTTGTCCATTTATTTCAATCGTATCAAAACGTTTGATATTCAATTTTCATAAGTGTCATAATTTTGTCGATTTATTGAAACCATATTTGTACAAAGTGGGTTAGCATAAGTGAAGCAAAAACCAGTATGAAAGTCAACTGCCTTTTTAAGTGAGGCAAGACACCCTCTTCACACTGATTATAACCTTGATAAAGACATTATGCAACAAGGCAAAAGAGTTCTATCAACTCGAGTGTGAAAACAACACATTTTGTGTCACTTTTACAAGGCAATGGAGGCGAGCAAGTGGAGTAATTACAATATACAATCAAAAGGAATTTAGTTTAGAAAGCTTACTTCGGGTCAGCCCTTTGCTTGTTCGAAGGAGATAGATGGATATCGGGAAGCGACCTTCGTGTATTCGTGTAAATGTGTGAAAGACAGGCAACGGTCTTAAATCGATGTTGATATTGTTTGTAGTCAATATTGAAGTATACCTCCTTCGCCTACATGTAAACGTATTAGTTTGTCTCATGTTCACTATATTTCTTTCAGGTGGATCAGACAAGGCGTTGAGATCGATAAAAGTAGAGGTTAATCTAAACAATTAAGTGCAATTTTTGTGAAATGTCTTAAGTGATGTGCATGTACCTAGCATGTATAAATTCTCTCATTTTTAATTTGTAAAATCTTTCATACACGGCCTCATATTTATATTACTCTGCAGCACAGAGCATTGTGAAAGTTAATTTGCTTTGTTATATTCTTCATGCAGTTTTATACATGTAGCTGGGATAAACACTGTGAACTAGAAACAGGCTTTGTTTAGCTTTACTTAATTTACGACAATTTAAACAAAACCAGTCTGCAATTAAATCACCGACATCGTTATATTTTAACTTAATGTGATCATTTACACAGTACACAGATGATATTTATAAGTTGTCTGTCGTTCAGCACGCATTACAGTGAGAGTAGCCAAACAGTGACGATGATCAACCCAAGCACAATCTAGGCAAGTATTGTTTATAGTATAGATCATGTTGAATAAACTAACGCTTTAATAAATAATCAGCACAAGGTTCGGTTATAGTCACTTAAAAGCTTTCGATCAAAGACGTTCAATGAAATCACAAATAATTTGACGATTAACAAATGGACAGGTTCAAGGGGCATTTTTTGTTTCAGCTAGGGGGACTTCAGGTAGAGGGTTCAGTGAAGGTGTTTCCTCGGGTGATAGCAGCATCACGCCCTAGGTCTAAACGAGTTGAATAGAAGCTTTTGTCCAAGCATCCTATACCAAACTACTGGATTAGGACAAAGGTCTTTTTTTATATTTACTGTGCAATTACAATTAATAGATCAGTTGCATACTTGATTGTCCCCCCCCCCCCCCCCAGGTATCGCATGTATGTATTCTTACATGAGTGATCTAAAACAAGTCGCTGGTGTAAACTGTTTGTAACTGTAGTAAAATATGTTCGACATGGCGTTTCTGCAAGGCAGCCGGAGACACAGTAATTGTATGAGCATGGTTTAAGCTTGTTCGAGAGATAATAACAGTCGCATTTAACAATAGATATCGAGCAATAGTAAGACCCTCTCCTCTTTAACTGATGATTTACACTGTAAATTGACCGTACTCTCATGTATGAAATTAGTAGATAATGCATCTGAGGAGGAGGTGTATGTATGTTGCTCTCGGAATTTGATCCTATTTTGGCAACTTCAAGACAATGCAGACTATTGATTTGTTGGAGACACCTTCGTAAGTTTGTCGGGGTCGGTTCACAGTTTTCGGCGTGACTATTCGGAGTATTGCCGACGAGATATTTGAAAAACAAATTCGTATATATATTCGGACTTGGTTAGATAACGGCAGATATAGGTCAACATCTACTCACTTTTACCATGCATTTTGGTGACAGCAATTGTTGCATATAACCCATCGCAATTACGACTATAATGAGGGGCAAACGCCAGGTAGCACAGAGAGCGGGTGTTGTAGTAATCATCGTCGTCAACCAAAACGGGAACAATAACAACCAAAAAAGCGTTCGAGACACTGTATGTATTTACTGCATAACATTATAAGCTACTAACTTCTGGTGGTTTATTATTTGCAAATGCCCAAAACAAATAGGAAAAAGGGAAGTAGAGGAAGCACGGAAAGTGTAAATGAAAACCACGCAAAGAAAGAGTGCCAGGTCGAAAGCCCAAAGGAAAATATGAAGGCGACTAGTGAGGTACTCCAGGAAGCAAACAGTGTCCTACACGATTCAAAAATCCACGATAACCCTCCAGTTTTTAGCGTATCCGAAACCCCTAACCAAGCGCTGTTTAAAAAAATGGACACTTTATTAAAAGCTGTAACAGATTTAAAGGACAACCAAGATCAGATGAGAAAATTATTTGACTTAAAACTAAACCACTTAGAAGAAGAAATGAAAGGAATGAAAATGCAATTTGCAGAAAATTCTAACGGAAATACGGAAATAAACGTGCAAAAAGAAAAGCAAAATAGGATGAAAGCAGAGGTGATCAAAATAAACAAAACACTAGATAAAGTCACCGACATAATAAGTGGCCAGCAACTATATTTAGAAAAACTTGACAAAGCAAAGAGAAAAGAATCTCATTGTGATCGGTATGTCAGGAAATGAGAATTATGGAGATGTAGTCGGGGATGCGGAAAAAGTTAAATATGTTTTAGAAGCGATCACCGCCACTCAACTTGCAAATAAACCTGTTTGCAAACGCTTGCGTCAGCCAAGGCAGGATGGCACACCCCGCCCGATTCTGGTAACGCTCGGCAGCGAATCCCTGAGGAGGGACATCCTCCAAAAATTGGCACAAAGGAACGGCGGGCAGGGAGAGCTTCAGATCCCGCATGTTAACGACACACTGAGGATAAAACGTGACCAACACCCAGCAATAAGAGCTGAGTGGGGACGCATGTTCAGGGCACTGGACACAGAAAAGCAAAAGCCAGAAAATATGGGCCATGAGATCTTTTTTGCTAAAAAGAAAAGAGTAATTACCAAAGATGGTGAGGTAATCGACCGTTGGAGTGCAAATTTTGTATAAGCGAGCGGAACAGAAAGTTGACTATAGTTACATGGAATATAAATTCTGTAAAAATTAAACTAGAAAACAAAAAGGTGCAAGAACTTTTAAGTTTATATGATATAATTTGTTTAAATGAAAATAAGTCTAATGTTGAGTTCTCCTTACCAGGATACCATACTTATATGAGTAAAAATGGAAACGCAAACCGAGGAGGTTGCGGTGTTCTCATAAAAGATGGGTTAAACAGATCTATAATTGAACTTGCGTGTGGTAAAGACGACTATATTTATTTCAGACCTAAGGAACACTCACAAGTAATATTTGTGGCTTTTTATATTGCACCAAGGAGTTCACCATACTTTTCAATGGGGGTGTTAGCTGATTTGAGATTTGAGCTGAATAGACCTAACCATACTTTTATAATAGTGGGAGACACAAACTGTCGATTTTCTTATTTGAGAGAAAGATTTGTAGACTCCATAAGGGGAATGTTTCCTGATGCTCGGTATATAGTGAGTCGCCTGATAAATTAAGGATTCCTAACGAAAATGCACGACTTGTAACCGGGATTGTAAAACCGTTAGTATTACTAAACGGTTTATGTTTTAACAACGTGCAATTACCACTAAAACTAACATTTAGACAAAGGGATCGATCGGTCTCAGAATTGGACCATTGCTTTGTCTCCCCGCGCCTCGTAGCCGCAACATCTGACATGATAATTCATGACAGCGTGGATTTACCATCGAACCACGCCCCAGTAGGCATTACTTTTTTTAAGGAAAAGCTCTCATCAACCGCAGACATCCTGAACTCTCTACTGCACCGCGTAACACAGCTAGATGACCATACACCGACAAGGGACACACACCCATCATCATGTAGTAATCGGCAAGTTAAATGGACTGATATTGATTCTACCTTATTTAAGGAGATTCTGGGAAGCGCCGAACCGCTCTACGTTCATATGATAACTTGGGCCAGGTTTTCTACGAAACTGACCGCATTATGAGATCAAGTCTAGATCGTGCAAAGATTCACCAATCAAAACAAAATGAGCAACAACGACCAATAACAAACCGCTGGGAAGCGCTTCACAGCATGAATGATCATCGCAAGATATGGCAGGCGATCGATTGGAGTGGGACGCTAGAATTAAATGACGCAGCAAAAAAGCGACCGACGGACGAGGATTTCAAGGAGCATTTCGAAAAGCTGCTTTCACCTAACGACGCCGAGCCCGTGTTCACGCCGCTCCTGGGGATGTGCCCTTACCAGGCCTTCCCAACTACCAGACTCGGCACCTACGGGTCCAGAATAAACCGGTATATCTGACCACACTACCCGTTTTCAAGGTGTGTGTCAGATCGCATAAAAGAGTATCATACCCTATCACAAATTCTGTAAGCCTACCTGTCATCCGGGTATCGCGCCTCGTTTTCGTCAAGTAGGAATCGTATGAATACAACAGTCGACTCCCTCAATCAAGGGGTGAAAACGCGCTACTTATATGATTAAGACGAGCCTAGCCGTCAGTACCGGTTATTGTTTTGTGACCTTGAGGAGCAATTAGGTTTGGTCGTTGCGGCACGCATGGACAGTAGTTGAACTACCACACCTGGGTCTTTTGTTTTTGACAACTGTTCACTCGTCATCGAGGCGCTTGTTCAAGACTACAGGCTGGTATCTACTAGTACTACCAGTGGCTTCCCACAATACTTAAGTTTCTGTCCGTGCGTACAAACCCTGAAAAAGGACAGCCTCGCTGACGAGAACAATGGACGTTTCTCACCCCTCTCTAAGATTACCCCTGCCCTCAATCTCGTCCATCCCGGTAGTCATGAAAATATTTAACCCCCGACAGAATATGCTTCCGCTATCAAAATTAGGTCTACTTTTCTAAATTAATATATAAGTTTGCAAGTTCTTATTTACAAAACATCATTGGCTATGTCCGAACCTAAATTTTATGTTAAAAATTGCGGTACTCTCAGATTTTAGCATAAACAGAGAAAATTGCAGCAGCGCATGAATCTAGATGAGATGCACTACTTTCCAACCCCGCTTAGGATCATTGCTATCACATCGCGCACCAGGCAAAATCGGTGTGGTGGCTGATACTCTGTAATGCGATCTGACACACACCTTGAAAACGGGTAGTGTGGTCTGATAAACCGGTTTATACTGGACCCGTAGGTGCCGAGTCTGGTAGTTGGGAAGGCCTG